GAGGTGTCCAGGTCTGTTAGTGCTGTGTGATTTCTAAAGAGTGCCCACAGTTGAGATTGTGCTTGAGCTGTGTGTCATCAGTCACTGACTGTTTGTGTGTTTGGCTTTACTGCATTCAGCATGCAGTGGGAGCAGCAGCAGATGGACGAGAAGGAGGCCACGACGCTCAGAGGTACACAGTCAGACACACACACACACACACACTCTACATGTTCAGACAGTCATGCCCTCTCAGACCATCTGCTGGCGTTGCACAGAGCTGCAAAAAAAATGGGTTCAGGATAGAGTGCCAATATTTCTACTTATATCTACCCTCTGACAGCACACATTAGCTGATGGGCTGCCCTGATGAGTCATTTCACAATTTTGGTAGTGGTGGGTTTATGAAATTGCATAATAGTCTTTTCCTTCCTATTGTGAAGATTATCCGAGTGAAAAATGTCTTCTTGAGCAAGGAAAAAATATTTTGGTAATTGATTGGATGGTTGTGGTTTGCTATTGGTGGATCTCATGCGAGTGACGTTGTTCTTCCCTCATGCCTGTAAACACATCATCAGACAAGAGAAGAAATGAGCTGCAAGAGGGAGGGGGAGTTATTTTGATTTAATATGACATGAATAAAAAAAATGTTCATGGATAAATCATTTATAATTCATACTGCAATAGGTATTATACTTATTGTTTAACATAATTTACAAAGAAATTTGAGTTAAGAGAGAATAACGTTTTTAAAAATGTGGCTAAAATTTTGCATCACACATTGCTAAACAAGCGTTATTTTTCTCACTGAATTTATATCCCCAAAAGGGGCAACGTATCTGACGGGATACAAATCAAAAATTATAGTCGTTTTAAAAAAAAATCATGACGTATAATTTGTGTCCTAAGAAGATGCATTCACAGGCCATCTAGTGGTGTTGCTAATAAGATGGAAAATAGCAATAAATTAATTTTCTGATGTTACTTTATGGTCTTGCCCTTTTTAGGGCTAAATAAGTACATCTATTTTAATCTGTTGATTAAAACACACTAAAGCACATGTAAAGTAAAGTACTTAGTAATTCTTTATTAAAAGTTATTTAAAGTTAAGTTTCCATAGAAATGACAAAGTATATTTTAATCTGTACATTTGGCAGTAACCATATTTCAAAAACAATTATGAAGTAATTATGAAATTACATATAAAGATGTACTCAAGTCCTACCCTCAATTTTTAATAATTAAAGGCACAATATGTAAGATTTTGGGATTAAAATATCCAATAAACCACTAGAACAATGTTATATATTTTGTTGACTTGTGTACTTACATTATCTCAAATGTTTAAATCCAGAGCAACATTGACTGTGACTGTGTCCATGCGTCTCCTATCAATGACATCATACCCGCGTTACCCTCGATTTCTGGTCTTATTATGCAGAAACCATGGAAACACCCAAGATGCTTTAATGTATTGTGTGTTTTACTAGACAGGTGAGCAACAGTTTGGATGCATTCATTGACAGAAAACTAATCATTGTTATATAACGCAACATAGTTAGGGTTAATGTTTGAATCACCTTGATTTACCGCGAGTACCATGTTTTACCATGTCTAATATCGATCTAGCTCACTTCAGTGCGCAACAAGTGTTTCAATGTAGCGAACGCACAGAGTAGCATTCTAACTTATGATAAAACAGCGCTGTGCCACCCCACAGACGCATTACTGGAAGAAGCGGTGGTCGTCTGTGGCATAATAAAAGCTTCCACTACTCTTGAGTCGCGTGTCGTGCTTGTCTCTCATTAGCAAACGCTCCAGTGGCCTCGTTCCGCTCCAACGGCTTTCAGCCCCACCCTGCTTCATACTACAGTAGAGTTAATAAATCTTTAATACATTGCTACGCCTTTGTTTTGAATAAACGACCTCCAGTGGCTTAAATCGCATATTATGCCTTTAATATATTTTCATTCAATTCTAAATGAAATTAAGTGTCCAAAAACATTACGTTCAGTTGGTAAATGTATACTAAGTACTCATTTCTTAATATGTAAACGATTTTTGTTAATATCAAATGGAAGTTGCTTAGTCATTCAATTTTCGACTGCTCTTGATTTATTCATCTGTATCCTTTTGACCAAAGGAAATCAATTCCCTTTGCTGACATCAGCCAATGAGAAGTCTCTTTCTCCTCCTGTAGGTTTATCAGCACACGCTCACATAGAGCTGCCGTATTACTCCAAGTTTCTGCTGATTGCTGCGTACCTGGCATCCTTTAACCCTGCCCGCACAGATCGACGCTTCTTCCTCAAGGTTTATTACAGCTGTCTGATCTGATCCCCTCTTTATTACCAAAACATGACCTTTCAGTCAAAAAGAGATCTTACTGAATCATGATTGCACATTCATGAATCATCTGATCACTAAAGAAAAGCTTTTTTCTCCTTCCTTTAGAGTCACGGGAAGATAAGAAAGACTAATTTCTTGAAGAAACATGAGAAGGTGAGGTGTTTCTCCTGTTGTTTATTGTTCATGACTACTCTTTCTGCAGGTTTATTAATGTCGTCTGTCTTTTTTTCTCTCTGATTTTGTCTTTTTGCTACAGACTAGTAACCATCTGTTGGGACCGAAGCCTTTTCCTCTTGACAGACTGTTGGCCATATTCTACAGTGTGGTTGATAGCAGAGTTGCACCTACAGCCAGTGTCTTCTCACAGGTAATTTCATTGAGCAAATCATAAGGTTTGGCAAATAATTGTGTTTCAGATACTAACAAGCTATGCCATTCATGTCAGTTAGCTCAGGCAAGAAAATAAGGCAGTTATATGCAAAGTTACAGAAAAAAAAAGTTTTGGAATCATGTTGGACACTGGGAGGCAGTGTTTCATTTTTCTTTACTTTCTGAAAACTATGTTAGTTTGCTTTGATAGATGAACAGCCTGGGTGTATGTAGGGCTCCTACGATCATGAAAAATATCAGGATTATCCATTTTAAAATTGTGATTTCCAGTTCAAATCTTGACAATTTTCTGTATTTATTTATTTTGTTGTAAAATCTTTCATAGGTTAGATATTGTGCTGATTTTCAAGCTTAACTACCTGTGTGCCTCATGCGATGACAACATTTGCATTTTAATCATTTTCTTAATGGACACAAATTGATCTTCAAGGGGTTTGGCGGCCCAGAAAGCAGAATAACCTGAGCTTGAACTTCATTCAAACATTATGACATTTTGTTAAATAAACAAATATAATATATGAAGTCATGATACTTTATAGTAATACAGTCTTTTTTTTTTCTTCTGTTTTACAGATTTCGTCTCTAGTTACTCTGCAGCTTCTCTCTCAGGTGGGTCATGATGACCAGCTGGACTCACCCAAATACAAATGTGCCGTTTCTCTGGACTTCATTCTTGCAATCTCCAGGTGTGTGAGATGGATAGACCCTTTGACCTTGGATTGTAACATCTCTCTGTGATCAGATTTCGAATGGAGGATGTCATATTTTGTGACTGCATCACTGACTATGTCAATGTGTTACTCCATGTTGACCCTTCACAAAACTGCACTTGTATTTGGTTCTTCTGGCCATCTTATTTCCTTAAATAGATGTTAATTGCAGGTGTAAATGGGGTCTTTGATCTGGTTTACTAATCTTTAGCTGCACATCTAATAGTTTGTTTTTGTGTTAGCTTTTTGACTATTTGCATTTTGTCCCCCCTAGAACTGTAAGCTTCGATGTGGTGAGGTATCTGTATGACTTCCTGTGAGGCAGCTGCAGTGGATATGAAGCAGGCATCTGATCAGGCAAAATCACTTGGGATTACTTGAATGGACTGCAGGATGAATAAATGATGTTACGGGAACTTCCTCCATTCATTAGTCCAACCAGAAAATACTCAGTTTAAAGAAGAGACTCGTCCCTCTAAAGGAAATTTGATGGGTTTGGTGTGTTATTATGTGGCACAAGTTAAATTTGTTCTAATAAAAACGGTATATTTTGTTATAATAATGGGTCCATTTTACTTTTTCATACACTATCGTTCAAATTTTGAGTCGGTAAGTTTTTTAAAACATTTTTTGTTTTAATCAAATTTATTTTATTTATTTAATCAAAAACAGTACAGTCAATAATATTTTGAAATGTTATCATTTAAAATGTATTAAAATGTCATTCATGTGTAATTTCTGCAGTTAAAACATTTATTTTAAGAAGAGATCTTTTATAACATTATAAATGTCTGTATTGTCACATTTGATCAATTTAATCATTGGTAATGTTATTTAATTTTTTTTAAATATTACTGGTAATATTAAGGTGGTTTGGTACATAATTTGTGCGTTTTTCAAAATGTGCTCTAATGGCAGATACAGGCTCTACTACTAATTGATTATACCAAATAATAATTCATTTATATGTATCAGGCTTCCCATCTGTTGATGTTCACGCGATGTTTTTACATCATGGAGACTGGCATAACATCTCTCCCTGGATTCACGGTACTACCACAGTTGCACACAGCCCTTCAACCACGTTTAAGTGATCGATGTATCTATATTACAAATATGTCCCGTGTTATTTGGATCCTTTGTAGAAGGGTAGCTCAGCTCAGAGGACTGACCTCCTTATCCTTTTGCAACAAGATGGCAAAGCTGGCATGAATACCAATCACCCTCTCTGATGTAGACAAACAACCCAGAATGACGACCAAAGTGAGGATCTGGGAGAAAGGAACCGTGGGTGCAGTGTAAGTGATTGATTGAAAACTAGGCTTTTAGTATGGTGGTCTGTTAATTCAGCTTTTGAGAGGTAGCTGATGCTGCGTCTGACTCGCAGGTCTCTGGTAATAGATTGCGGTTGTCATAGAAACTGAGGGTCCACGGTTAAAAAGGCTCAAAATGTGACTCATGTGTTTTCACAAGCTGACGTAGTCTGGAGAGAAGACGGGGGCTTAAGACGAGGGACTTTTTTGTGTCAGCAGTTATCTAATTTATGCATGAACTTACACCTCATGTGTCAGTTATTATTTATTTAATGTACAAATGGAAGCACAAGCAGTACATTAACAAGCTTATGGTAGGTCCTAGTCCTACAACAGAAGGCACCTTCATAATGTCTATACCAATGCAGAAGAAGCCATGTCCATTCTTATACACTGCAGAAACTAAAATATGTAAGCCTTACATATACGTATACACATATCTTTTAAAAAAGTAAACATTCCTGACATGACAGAGTTTGACACGCTGCGTAATACTTCATCTAGATCTATTTTAAATCAATGCTTTCTTTAATATTCAGATAATATGAGGTCATTTATTCTCGACCTTTTATTAACTTAGACACTAAATCACATTTTAAAATGCTCTAAAATACTGTAAAAATGGCAAACATATCAAATTATTAAAAATGGTGACCCTTTACAATACCAAAAATATACACCTTCCCATGAACATTCATAAAAAATAAATAAATAAATAACATTAAAGTTGACATACACTTTTGTTCAAGAGATTGGGATCAGTAAGATTTTTGGAATCAAATTCCAAGTTGATCAAATTTGAAGACGAAGACATTTTGAACAAACTATTCTCAAAAATAGTTGGGAAAACAATTCAGTTTCCACAATAAATAAATGTGTCCTTAGTGAGCACAAAAGACTTCTTTCAAAGACGTCAGGCCCGTGAAATCTTACCGACAACAAACTTTTGAATGAATGTGTTTGTCAACTACCACTTATTATTTATATACATTAATAGACTCTTCTTTTTTGTGTGCTAATAAAGTAATAAGAAAATAAAGCCCTCTAAATGGACATCCACTTCATACTGATTCTTTTCCCACGAAGCCACTTTCTAGCAAGAAGGCTGTTTTTTGGGAAACAGTCAGTATATTATATGTAGGACGTCCCACACCTACTTAATCTCTTGGCCCTTTAACTCAGTCTTTGTTTTGAAATGTTTGTGTTTTTCAGAATTAGACAGTGGAGGTGAAGTTTGATAAGTGGTTGCTCTTGATTTCTGATCAGGAGACTGTACATGACATATATTAACGTGGACAGTCTCTTAGTTACACGCTGTGTCTCCGGTTATGGATCATGGCCACTATGTGTGAGAGGTCTAAACTTTTCATCATCACCTCCATAAAGTCTTCATCACTGCGTGCCCCTGCTACAAACTCCTCCAGTGAAAGCTCCCCTGATGAATGGAGAAAAGTTCACAATCATGCCTTTCTCTCTTAATATTGGAAGCGTATCATTTCAGTGTGAGAGTTCATTGCACTCACCATCTCCATTGACGTCGATCCGATCAAACACACTGTTTGTGAAGTCCTCAGCGCTCACTTCCTGCGACTCGTTTCCATTGATGGCGCGTATGGCCTAACGTAAAAGAAACCGTTTTTATGAAGAGTACTTTCATTTATTTCTATTTTCATTAGGGCTGGGCAACGATTAATCGTGATTAATCGCATCCAAAATAAAAGTCTGTGTTTACATAATATATGTGTGTGTATTTTTATATACAAAATAATTATACACACTACACACGTATATTATGTAAACACAAACTTACTTTGGATACGATTAATCGCGATTATTCGTTGCCCAGCCCTAATTTTCATAGCCGTCTAGTGCAGTTTTAATACTATCGTTCCTACCTTTATGATATTCAGGAGCTCGTGTCTGTCTATGCAGCCATTGCCGTCAACATCATAAAGTCTGAAATACCAGCGCAGTTTGTGCTCCATCTTTCCTCTCATTACAAGACTGAGAGCAGCCACATACTCAATGAAGTCTATATAACCATCCTGCAAAAGATCAAATTATTTAAGAACATCGAGACCATACCGCACTTAAGAAAAAAAAAATAGGCCTGGCTAAATGTAAGATTGTACTTGAATAGCAAATATAATGTAATTTATAATTCCATCCATTTGTGGCATATTAATAAACTTAATTTGCTAATATGATACAGGTCAGATTTCTGTACTAATAACTAACTTTTTTTTAGAATTTGAATAATTGTTTTTTGAAATTAATTGAATTTGAATATTTAATTTATTGAAATAGTTTGATTGATAGATTTTTTGATTGCAGAAATCTTAATTTTTTATACGTATGCCTGACAATTGCATTACATGCATTTATTTTAAAACTAATCTAATTCAAATACATCTTAAATATTGGGCTAAATATTTTTGAGTGCATGCTACGTTGTGAATGGCGTAATACTTTTTAAATATACTGTATATAATGTCTGACTGGTTGGTTTGTTTCATGGCTTTATTGAAGGATTATGTTAAATAGCTATGTGGCCATGTTGAAGTAGGCCTGGTTTCACAGACAGGGCTTAGATTAAGCCAGGATTAGGCTGTAGTTGGGCTTTTAAGTAGCTTTTATAAACATGTCTTAGAAAAGAAAACATTACTGTTGAGCATCTTGAGACAAAACAATGGGATTGACATATTTTTAGATATGCCAGATATTCATTTCAGTCCGAGACTATAAGCCTTGTCTGTGAAACCGGGGGCTGGGAAGACTTTTGAGATCTATCCACCAATCAGCATTCACATCTGGACCTATCTGTTTTATGAAGTAAGTTAAAATATGCATGTGTTCCCACATTAATCTTTAATGAATCCTAAATCAGCTGGATACCCTTTGTTCTCTTCTCGTGTGCTTGCACATATTTAGATGATGGAGGTGATGAGGATCACGATTAGGATGATGAGGGTGCCCTCTGGAGGATTACTGCCTATTCCAAGGTCTGCGTCTGAGAGACGGACACAGCCACTTGTCGCAGATGTAATCCTCAGGTCAACACACTTTCCTCAAAATGTCACCTCTCATTGTGGCACAACTGTCTAGGGCAGTGTTAGAGAGAAGGTCATGGGCAATGTAGGACTTGAGGTTTGTTAATGTGGAGATATGTGGATATTTTATTCTGATTGTTGAATAGACATGCTTTAACTGGTATTTGTAGTCTATAAACATTTTTTTCAGTAAGGTTTCATTAGTTAACTTCTTTAGATAACATGAGCTAAGAATTAACTCTACTTCAAAATGTATTAATACATAAATTGTATTTGTTAACATTAGTTAATGCACTGTGAACTAACATGAACAATAACTAACATTAACAAAGATGAATAAATGCAGTTACAAATGTATTGCTGTTAGTGCATATTAGTTATTTAATACAAGTGATAACAAATGAGACTTTATTTTAAAGTAATACCAAATGTATTTAATTTCCTAGATATCATTTCTGTAGTATATTTCTATTATAAAATAAATATTAGGAAACTATAATACACTCAATACACAGGCACTCAATTATCTGCAATTTGTGCCACTTAATTATGAAGTTAGAAGTTAATTAAAATGACCATATATCGAACGAATAATAGCATACACTAACAGCTTATGATAGAGAATAAAGATAAAATTAAAGTTTTACTTTGGTATTTTGTCATTACCATTCATTTTTAATTTGTCTTTTGGTTGATCTATTATTGATTTCTCTCCGAGCGACGAGGGAGGCACAATCGTACAGTGAAGGGCAGAGATTTAGCTTGATCTATAATACTATAATTAAGCTGTATATTGTATAACATGCTCATATCAAGATATGAAAAGCAATACTATCATGAGGCTTAAAACAGTTTTAGTGCCAAAAATGCCATTGGCACCCAACTATGAAAACAAGTTTTGACCTGGAGAAAACTAGTTGCTATATGGCACGTGATTGGGATCGAATTCTATAATACAATCTCAAATCCAAATGTTAATCTCATAGATAAGCTCATTAATCATTGTATTAATATGGCATGACATGAGGTGCCAAATATAGAACTATAAATATTGATCCAGACAACACAGTATATGATCCGAGCTTTGCTCTGATCTGACTCAACAAATAGCAAACTCACGTGTGCCGACTTTCTGTACAGTGCTTGATTATATATATATACACACACTACCATTCAAAAGGTTTTATATGTTTTTGTAAAGTCTCTTATACTCTCCAAGGATGCATTTATGTGGTAATAAAAATATAATGAACTAATATTGTGAAATATATTATAATAAATATTTAAAAAGTTTTTAAATGTAGTTTATTCTTGATGGCAAAGCTGAATTTCATCATCATTTGCATCATTACTCCAGTCTTCTGTGTTACATGACCCTTCAAAAAATCATAATATGCTGATTTGGTGTTCAAGAAACATTTTGCATTATTATCAATGTTGAAAACAGTTATGCTGCTTAATATTTGTGTGGAAACCGTGATATATTTTTTTTCTGGATTCTTTGAATAGAAAGTTCAACAGCAATTATTTGAAATAGAACAGTGTAACAATGCAAATGTCTTTACTGTAATTTTTTTTAATAAATGTTATGCATCTCGCTGAAAAAATCTGTTGAATGGTAGTGTGTGATATATATATATATATATATGAAGAGTTCAGATGCAAAAGCCTCTTAAGTGCCATTTGAAATTTTCTTCTAAAATGATCATTTTTATCAAGCTTGTATATTTAAGTTCAGTAATTTCACTTAAATGGCAATGAAGATTACCTATTAATTGTTATTTAAGTGAAATTACTGAACTTAAATATACAAGCTTGATAAAAATGATCATTTTAGAAGAAAATTTCAAATGGCATTTAGAGGCTTTTGCATCTGAACTCTTCATATATATATATAATCTATCTGGCATGATCTTAGCAAACATAGTTTCTGATCTGTCTGATGTAACAGAATTCAATGAGCCTCAAAACCTGCATATTATATCCAACCTTTTAATACGAAACAGACACTGAAGCTGTCTTTGAAAGAACTATTGGCAGAAAGCTTTTAAAGGCATCCGTCACCAATTGTACTATCCACTCTGTTACTTTATATCTTGTTTTCTTGTCTTTCACTCACCTTGTTCATGTCAAACGTGCGGAACATCTGCTCGATGTAGGCATTGGCCTCTGGATCCAGACCTCTGAGCCCGAAGAACTGTTTGAACTCATGCAGCGTGAGCTGACCAGATGGACACTCGGTCATGAACTTCTTATACCACAGATGCATTTCAACGGCCTGCAGGTCGTCCACAGTGCTGCCCGTTGTATTCCCCATCGCTAAACTGAGAACGGATTAGTTTGGAGAGCTGGACTGGTGCTACTCTGCAGGACGCCCAACTGGTCTGCTGTGCAGGCGAGTGTTTCGCTTCTCACAGACACACGACACTGGGACCTAAGAAAGAGGTGGGCACCCTCAGGAGGCTTTTGTACCAGCCTGGGATCAGACACACCCCACCAACTCCATCTTATTGATATTAACTTTGACTAATCCAGCTCACTGTTTATGCAAGGCTTAAGGATGACCATGGCTGGGATGTCCATTGGTAATTGCATGTGAGATTGGGGACATGCTGACAAAACGTTCCCATGTGACGGCCTGTGAACTGATGCAACTGCATCAGCATTTCTGGACTTCTAATGAAAAGACAACTGACGGGAAAGTGTGTTATGCAAGTTGTTTCCAAATTTATTGTCAATGATATCGTCAAATGATGATATATTCATATAAATCCACATTAATAGCCATCTAACAATTTTGAGGTAATATACTGCCATGGTAACAAGCTTCAGTCGATTTTTTTGATTTAATCATACATGAGAAAACCTTTACAATAATTACATATTGACATTCCTAGTCTTGCTAAAGATTCCAAAGAATACATTTGAGAACATTATAGTGCAAAAATAAAATATATAGAAATAGTATAATGCCAAAAATCAATGAGCCTCAACATTCTTCACATGAAATACATTTTTTAGTTTGTTAGTATTTGATTGTGACATTAGACACACCATATTAGTCTATATTTATATATATATATATATTCAACAATAATATTAGTAGTTGATGCCATTTAAAAATTCATAGTCTATAACAGGAATGAGATCTCAAGATATTGAGCCTAAAAATACATTTGGGATCTCTTCTCAAGCTCAAACCGTAAAACTTGCTAGATCTGTTATTTTTAAAAATATTATTCATTACAGGGAAACTTTAACAGTCAATATTGTTATTTTTTGATGTTAGTAGTATTATGTAGTCTCCCATTCTCCAGAAGCAGTGCTGGGTAGAAACTGATTACATGTGGTATGTAATCCAAATGGTAAGTACTTGTAATTAGATTGTATTACATTTTAAAATAATGTAATTCTCACAATGGCAGTAAAGTATTCAATTAATTGATTCTACTACTTTGTAATATTTTTAATTTTCCTTTCTATAAAAGTCTACTGCTTATATATATTAAGAAGGTCTTCCAGGTTTGTGGAATTGCACGGATGTAATGTGTAAGGCAATTATTGTTGTTGATAGAGAACGGAATATATTTTCTTTCTCTTTTTGTTTCAATATGGTACAAGATATCTATTCAAATCAGTGTTATAAACGAGTTAGGTCGAAAGTAATCAGAATACATTACCTAAGATAAATAATTTTTGTAATGTAATTTGGAATCAGTAACAGACTAATATTTTACAATTTGTAAGTAATCTACCCAGCACTGTCCAGAAGTTTCTCAAACTATAACAACCTCCACTCAGCGTTAACTAAAATTCAAAATTATATATAGGCTGTATAGTGTAAAATATGAACAAAAACTATAATAGAATATCAAGCACTGCTTGCTTCTGAGAACTCCTGAAATGTGAATGTAGCCCATTAAAACATCATATTTTAGAGCTGAATAACTTATCCCACAAATATTCTGAACCTGCTACAGTATTTCTCTGTTTTCTCTGCTACCGATGATACAAATCCCACTTGTTTCAGGATTACTAAATATTTTTGATTATTCTTTGATGTAACACACACTTGCTCAAACCGTATAATGTCCAATCGGACACATATGTGCTAACAGAAATGATTTGTCTCCCTCACTGCTAAACTGTATTCAGTGGATGATTTGTAAAGAACTTGTTGGGGCAAAAACAACACTGTTTAGTGCTCTAAGCGATGTCGGGTGACGTGACTTCCTGTTGACGTTTAAAGTATTTTCAAACAAAACGGAGGCTATAGCCCCTCCCTCCTCCTCATCTGCTCTGACCCCCCAAACCCCACCCCCAGGGCTTTATTATTGGCTGGAACAGTTTGTTATGTTTCGTGAAGCGGGTTGCCGCAGTTTGTTTTTGTTGCCATTTGTGGAGCCTGGGTTGTCTGCATAGACCGCGTTTTTTTACAGTGTGTTTAGGGGACAGGCAGCGGATACTGAGATGTTTGCTGTATGTGACAAAAAATGTTTGGGCCTAAAAAACGTGTGACATCGCTTAGAGCACCTTTAACTGTGAGGCTAAACGAGTTAGGATGTACTTATCTAAATGTTTGCATTGCTTCTTCCAGTAAAATACTGGTCTAGACTTGAAAAACAGGTGCTGAGTTTAGCCTTCAGTCTATTAGGTGTGGTTAACTTATAACACACTGGTGGACTCTCCCTCAACCACTCAACCTCTTTGCTTTTGAGTGAGCCGATTGAAGTGAAAAGAAACATGAGACTTGAAACATACAAGTCAAAGAGTAGTAGAGAAACAAAAACTTCTGCATGTACTGATGCAATAATATTGTTCTCCTTGGAGTCTATAACTCCATAAGATCCATGTAAAATCTGTTTCTTCATGAAGTATTATCATTCCATGATATTGTTCTCCTTTGAGTTCATATGTCCTTCATCAGTCCGACTTGCTGTCGCTACTGGAGAGCATTTCTATGGACGTCCTACTACTGCGTCTTCTGGTCAACCAATGTAGGCTCCTATGAATGGATGCAAATACCCCTACTGTGCATCTGGCAATCATCGACATCCACTTGATCACTTCCACAAAAAAGTTTACAGAACGAGATACAAAGCTTACAAACACTGCGGCGTAGTGTGCCAACAGAAGGAGACTGCGTCCTAACTGTTTTCCGTAATTAATAATCATGTTAAGTTTTAAATCATGTCCTCCCATTCTGTTTTGAACCATTATGCAACTCCAAAAACGAAACTAATATGTGTAGTTGGTTCCTATTATCTTTTGGAAACCATGTCCTCTTAAATTGTGATTCTATGTTTTATATTTATTGACGGTCCCTTAGCATACAGTTATGCGGCTCACAGAGTGACTTCTTGTTTTCAGACACTCCCATGCGTGGTCCAATCACAGCGCTGGGTTTCTGTTTCCGGGATGTTTGGTGATGTGGCTCTGAAATCCTGGAGAAGAAATTGATCAAATAAACCACGCAGCTCTTCCCTGCGCCGATTACACAGGTTAGTTTCATGCTTAATAACATTAAGAAGCTGCATCTAAACGTTTTCGTCCGCTGACATGCACAGAAACACATTTATAAATATCGTTACAGTTGTTTACGAGTCACGAGCACGAGCTCACTAAAGCTTGCGCTCATTACTGCCGCTCATTGGGCTTTAACAATACCGTTTTATAACCATTATGAAACATAAAAGTCATACCTTTATGTGTCTCGAACATTTGTGCTGATATCAATCGGTTTTGAAACACAAGGAAGAAGAGTCGCTCAATAATCTTTGCTGTTGTGTAGACAAAATGAAAGCGACGCAGCCGCAGTCAGTTAAATTTTATTCGGCGTTTTTCGGTTCTCTTCGTTTTTCTCCGCGATATGGCTCTGCCAAAGGTGGTTAATTATTTCGTTACCAGGAAAGACAGTGGTGATAGAGACAGTGTTGTTATTCCGTTCACGCCTCCTTTGGTTACTGTCAGTACAGTGGACAAACATTGCGTAACCATTAAAGGATCCTGATTTGACCTCATCAAGTGATCTAACGTTAGTTATTCATGATGATATGCATTTTGAGTTTGTTTGTTTGTTTGTTTGTTTTTTTTGTTTGTTTTTTTTACAGTCTATGGATGTGCTCAGTCTGTGTCCAATCAAAATCTATAGAAATGCAACTTGACATTAATATATAGGCTAACCAAACTGTAATGTTTACTTTGTTCACTATATGGATTTGATTTATTGATGTGATGTAATACAACAGAGAAGCGTGTTATAAATTAATAATGCCAAACTATCATTGCTAGTTGTTTGCTCATATGGGATCTAGAGAGCTAAATGTCCCTTTAAATAAATGAATCAATAAACAATTGAAAGTCTGTCTGTCGTTATCTGATTCTGGCTTTGCCTTTACTCATATGTTAAACGTGCTAAAAACAGTTTCAGTAATTCACTCAGTAAATAGCTTGATAGAAAATACTTGAGTTGTGAACTAACATTTCATTGCATATCTTTACATGCAGATCAGCCATGTTAAGCCGGCTGACCCAAGGGGTGTCCTCGGTCCTCCAGGAACTCTCGGGTGAGGAACGCTCAGATGGAGACTTACAGGTGAGGACACAAAATCCTGCAGTGGCTATGGACCACTAAGCATAAGACAAGCATAAGTGGATGAAAAAGAGAAGTGCTAATTTAAAGTCAGCATGAAATGGAAGTTGTGATGGTCTTTTCTTTCCTATTGTGTGCGGCTTCTTGAACAAGAAAAAATTTAGTGCGGGACTTTATATTGTGGTTTGCTATTGCTGTGATGTCATGTGATGTGAGTGACTGGTTGTCCCGCCCTCATGCCGGTAAACGCGTCATCAGAGAAGATAAGTCGCTGCAAGAGAGAGGGGAAGTTATTTTGATTAAAGATTATGAGGGCATATGAATCTAAAAAAAGAATAATAATAACGAAGTGCATGGATAAATATGCTGACTTTAGGACAAGTTATTAAGTTGTGATGAAACAGAATTAGAGACAGACATTTGATTCTTCGCAAGGTTTAAATGAAAAAAAAATGAGACGCATACATGAATGAACTGTTCACTGTAAGATCTACAACATGCAATTTGTTGAAAAAGGTCCATTTCACACCAACTTTAATGTAATTAACCATTTAGAGAACCCGCTTTATACTTCGAATGTTGTCTTTGGAGCAGGATGGGCTGGTGCCTCAGCCCCAGCCTGGTTCTGAAGTGTCAGTGGAGGGCCCGGGACCCTCAGAAGAGGTCCTGGAGAGGCTGGCCCAGACAGAGCAGCTGGTGGTTCAGCTGAAGGAGCTGATTCGAGAGAAGGACAGTCAGCTCGCCAACACTGAAAAACAGTTCAAGGTGTGGGCTTGCATAATGAGAAAGGAAGAAACAAGTGGCATTAAC